TTCTAGAAGCAACATATCAAGTTTGGTGACTCTAGCTCTTATTATTTACCCAATTTGCTCAAAAAACATATCGATTTTTATCGATTGCTTGGAAACGGAGTAGGTTATCGATTATCGGAAACAAACTCTTGTTGCGCATACGGAGGGACGGACAGACAGACGGACAGACAGACGGACATGGCTAGATCGACTCGGCTGTTGATGCTGATCAAGAATATATATACTTTATGGGGTCGGAGATGCTTCATTCTGCCTGTTACATACATTTGCACAAATACATTATACCCTTTTTACCCATTTTTAATGGGTTCAGGGTGTACGAATAGTATGTAAACTTCGAAGCTAAGGGAAATACCCGCTAATAATATATAAAGCCAGATAGATTTAGTCTAAATAGTTGAACTACAACAAAAGGTCAACATTTAAATATGGGTTTAAAGTTAGCTTAGCTAAATAAATAAATAATAATAAATTGAAAATAATTTAAATTATAAATGTAAAATGTATCTTAAACAAACCTGTTAGTACATTGTAATCACAGACATAGTATATGGTATGTGCTTGCGTTTGCATACGTATATGTATATGCAACCCTTAACTCCCTCAGGCCCTAAGAAAGGTCATAAATAAACTGAAGAAATCTCAAGAATAATACAAATAAAACCATAATTGCATGTTTTCACACGAGAATCGATATAGCCGCCGCCTTGTCCTTGCACTGGAGGGTTGCACAAAGGCTGCGATGATCTGGACTATTTCTTTGGCAAGGAAAATCGGTTCAGTCGGAGCACGCTGATTTCACCACATGCTGGGTCTGTGCCTGTTCCTGGCCTGTTGCTGTGCCCTGTTAACAGGCAAAGATCTAAATGTTCGATCTGCTCAAAACAATATATCGCATAAAAAACAAATAACAATAAGCAGAAGCCGGGCCAGGGCTTTCTCAAAGCAAGTTTCAGTTCTTTTACTTCCATCCATGTACACTTTGACATATACATACATAACATACATATATGGTATATACCTGTATGTACTATATCGTACTACATATGTAAGTGTGAATATTCTCAATAGCTCTCTGTGGGGTTAGCCTCCGTACACTGAAAGACCCTTGAACTTAGCCATTGTTAGACAAATATCGATATACAAAATGGGCTTAATTAATGCTTAACTTTACGAATACACATTACAGCTACAAAAGAACCAACGTCCAACAACAAAAATAGCGAATACAATTGGAACAGTACGCACAATTATTGATTATCTCAAAAATAGCTAATATATATCCTCAGTTCCCAGTCGGAACTTATCCTGAACTTTTACAAAAAAAAACCGGTTTATTTAAATCCATTTCTCTTTTATTTGACAATAATGTTTTCGCCTGAAATCGGCTTAGACGCCAAATCCAAGCTTCTTCAGAGGAAATTGCGGATAAACAATTTTTGTTTTGTCCGATTTGGCCTCAAACTTAATTCCAAATATCTATGTGAAAATGTCCTGTACGGCTTTCACACCTTTCTTAAAATGCACTCATTACTTTTAAGAAAGAAAAAAAATGATATCGTCCTAAGAGAGATATCAGATATATCTATATCCGGAGCGTGCGAATCCTCCCCAGTACCCCAGTTTTTTGTGTTGAGAGCATTCTTCCCTTTGACCCTAGCTGCCATTGGGTCATCGATAGCTCGTGTGGTCATGTCCACCAAATGGCTAACGATTTAGCCTGTGCTGCGGTTTTTCTGCCGTTCCTCTAGTTCTTCCAACAATCTGTAACAGATTATAAGCATGTTCGGTAGCTTTCGGCCTACAGTGATCATACATACATACACATTACACGTTATGCAGACGGGTCGTCGGGTGGCTTGTCGCTTTTTGGGATCAGCAACAGCCTTTGAAATTTCTACCTTCTAGGGAAGCGATGGTACTTCATGCACTTGCTCCAGGCGCCCTTGTCACTCTTAGGTTCAGTGTTTATATATATGGATTCACCGTATTGTATTGCACCGCAGACTTTACGGCCAACATTGATTAAGGCATTGATTAAGGCGTGAAAGACTGTTCTTTAATACAAAACGCAAACTCTATAATATAAATATACATATATACAATATAATACTTAAGTATTTTATTGCAGGGTCAATCTAACTAACTCTATATATTCCTTCTCTGTCTCCCTTATTTGATTACCGTTTTTGCTCCTAGTCATGCCGTTATACGTAGCTCTAGTTGTACGATAAACTAACAGTTAGTACAAAAATTAAATGTAATTTAGATATTTAGGCAAATTGGACTGGGAAACACAGGTTATTATTTTGTCTAAATATATCCTTATATTTGCAGCTGCGAAAACCAGCGACATGAGAGATAAATTCCCTTCTCCATTTACCCGTTTTACTTATTGACAAGCCACAAACCAAAATCGCACCCACAAGTGCACAACAACAAACGGCACCCAACCAAAAGGGCAAATCAACACACAGACACACACGCACACACACACACACACACACACTGATAAGCAAGCACAAACGCAAGCAAACTCTGTGGTAAAGACTCGGTAACCACATTTGCACATTTCCACAAGTCCAAACATTAACATAAGTGTGTATGTATGTGTATGTACATGTTTACTCTATATTGGGGTGTTCAGGTGTTATTGTAACGTAAATGTATGTTTTTTTTTGTAATATATTTATTTTCAAACGGATTGTGAGATCGTTGTTGCCTTATGCGGCATTTGTGCATTTTCGGTTACATTAAAGCGCCGGGCTTCTGACAGTATTTTAGAAACTTTGTTGAAATTTATGTAAATGAAAATATGTTCAATATTCAATATTTATTAACATATGTATATCCTAGTCAGCCATAGAATATTTTTGTTATATGCGTGTGTTCTTGTAGCCTTCTAGTTTCGTCCAAATGTGAATTGATGGACATGTAAAATAAATCGCAAGTCTCATATGAGTCGAACAGGGTATTAAATCTTCGGCGCCGCAAAGTAAACTGTTTTGTTATCAGCTGCCATAATAACACGATGAACAGACTAACACGTGGTCGGCTGCACCCGAACGGAACGTTTTTACTTCTTTCAATCATACGACGAATTTAACGAAAAACATATTGTGTGTGGTGCGGTTCTTAAACTTGCTATTCTTCGTTATGTGAGTAAACTTACTGACTTATCGAAACTCGTCTAAATTTACTCACTGAACGAAGTTTTCATGAGTGAGTGAGTACAGTGATCAAAATCGGGGCGCATTTTCAAATTAAACTTTTTTTATATATTGTATGCTGCATTTATTCATATGTCTGTTTTAAATTATCATACCATATTCAAAAAAGTTAAATGCATAAAATAAAATGCTTTATTTAATTAGTAGCAAATTATAATTCAATAACAGTAGTTTTCCCGACGATCAATCTTTAGATCTATATAGATTCATTTAAATTTTAGACTTTAATTTAAATTTTTCTTTATGTAAGGCTTTTAAAAAAGCTTTTATACATATGTGCAAATACGTTAACTTCAAAGAAACATATGTACATCGATTTCAATACTCACATTAAAAACGGTTTGGTTATGACAAAATATTGTGCGAAATAATACATTTTCAGATTCCTTTTAAAGAAAATATTAAAAGCAAGTCATTTTGAATTCTGAACGTAAAAACTCGAATCAAGTTTTTTCCTCTCAAAAGGAACAATGTTAAAACCAGTTGGGACATCAAGAAAAACTAACGTTCAGCAAAATGATGAATAGGAGGCCAAAAGTAAGGAATTGATTTTCTCTTTATTTGGATGAGAGTACAATAACTTTGTAATAAGTTTTGCATTGTGCCAAATATTAATATTTTTTTTATTTTCTTCAATGATTTGCTTTATTTGCCTTAATAAGTATTACTGAACCATTTCTGTGTGCTAATTATAACTTTATTTAATTAATATAAACATGATTTAATAACCCAATTAAACTTAGAATAAAAACCTTGGAGGTCCAAAGAACTACTACCTTACTTTTCGATAGAGAAAACGATATATCAAACATTATGCATAAATATTGTTGAATATATTTCATTTATATAAAGTTGGTGTTTCTGTTCATGAGCCTGGTACTTCAGTTTACTGAAAACATAAAATAATTAGAAAAATTGGAATACCTTGAATTGAAAATTGATTTGAAATATTTATTCATTGTAGCTATTTATGCGTTATAACAGGTCGGCCATCTGAAAATAATATATTTGAAGAAAACACAATAATATTTTGTGAATATAAGCAAGATTTGTTAGAGAATATAAACTTCGACAAATGTCGCAATAAACGTAAGACGTATTTTGTGACAAGCAACAACAATCAGAACAAGTAAAATGCTCAAGTAGAGCGAGGTCGACTTGAAGATTCCCTATACTGAAGTATTGGGTTGAATTAACTTATTTATCGTGCGACTTTGATCGTGTCTGTTAGATATTAGAAATGATATATAAACTCAAACTGGGAATAAACAGACAGACAGATAAGAAAATTGAAAGATCGATTTTAACATGGATAAATATATACATCTGTCTGTTGCATATATTTTTGGTGCAGCATTATTATATCCACTTTACGCATTGTGATAGGTACAGGGTATAAAAAGCAGGGCCGGAACCAGGGTCCTTTCTGCGATCGTCACACGAAGCTGCTTTGTGTGTGTGTGTGTTATTTATAAGTTAAAAGCTCAAAAAATCTTGCAAATAACACAACGCCGCCAGAGTTCAATCGTGTGATATTCCAAATGTAATGAGCACGCATGCGGACTACGCGAATTGTGTGTAGTAGTAGAACGTTTACGCTGTGCCCGCCCACCCACACTCAGAGAAATGGGACCTGGTGCCCTGCCCTGCGCTGACCGAACGTGAACGTGAACGTAGCGCACACTCATCCTCAGCCTCAGCGCAACAGCAGCTTCTTGTTTATGTCTGTAAATGCGAATGCGAATGTGGATGCGGATCTGTCAGTTAGTTATATGGCACGGTCAGGCTCTGTTGTGTATATCGCTGTATTCTCATTCGCTGCTGCTGCTGCTGCCACTGTGCTGATCCCTGTTTATGTATTTTTTTGTGTGTTCTGGTAGCCTCAACTCGAAAGCAGCGCGTTGCAATCCAAATCTGTACCGAGTGAAATATAATTGAAACATGTGCGAATACTTTAATTACATGTATGTATGTATGTATGTGCGCGTGCATACTTACAAGGGTATATATGTGAAGACGTACAAATATTTATTTGCGACACACGCACACACTCACATACAAACATATAAACATTTATATATTGATTTATATTTATATACAAAGGCGCTTGCATATATGTATAAAATGTATATATGTATGTATGTATATTTGGTATAAATGTACGTACACACGTACGTAGAGAATCGCAAAGTGTTCAAAATAGAATTCGCGTACATACATTTGTTAGTATGTATGTATGAATGTATGCACATATGTACATACAAATGTTTGTTATCTCAATATTTGTATGCTGGGTGTGTTTTGAGATACGTAATAAATTTATATATTCATGCTTATGAATGTTTGTACTTGTCCATATACATACATATATAAATAAACGCTTGTATATTTATGCATGTATGGATACTTACATATGTATAAATCATTTATAAATTTATATATATGTATATTATATATGAGCGTACATATGTATATGCAAATCTGAATGCATCAAAAGGAATACTGCACTTTAAGCACTGAACTGAAGTTCAAGAGCACAAAAATTGATTATGATGTTTATAAATGGTTTTAATTGAATACAATAGAGTGAGAGTGATCATCAAGAGCTTGTGAGTGAGATTCGCATAAATATGAATCGTTTATGCACACAGTCGCCACACAACAACAAGCATACACACACACGCACACTCAGACGTACCAATGCATATATACATACATATGTATGTATGAATATGTACATATGCATGCACATACTGTATTCCGTATTTCTATATGCATATACTAATTTACATATACACATGTACACCAACACATCGGCAAACATTAAAGAATTGCAATTTCAGAGAATAAACAAGCGCTAAAAACTACAACAACGAACGACATAAGCACAATAAGAAATACCCCAAAGTGCCGACATTTACATACGTACATATGTATATGTGTTGGTGTGTACGTATGTGTCTACATACACAACACGCATACGAATTTATTATCGCACAACGTATTAAATTCGGGAATAAATAAAAGAAGTCGGGTCGGTCGTCTTTTGCCGGTTTAATAATGGTTGATGATTTCGAATGGTTAAGTTTGTGAATACTTTACTTACTCGTAACAATGCATTGGACTTGAAAGCTGAGGACTGAAAAGTCGAGACAGTTACACTTGCATACATATTATACATACATATGTATGTACACATACACATTATACATATGTACATACATACACCTTAAAGTGGACAGTAACAATAACTATAACAGAATATGCTGAGATTGGAACTGTTAACTGATTGTGGCTGCTGATTGTTAAACTTGGATTAAGAATTTTGTGAGTATAAACACATACATACATAGCTAATATTTCTCGGCCTTACTCCTTGCTTACAATTTCGGACATCAATTTCCCCAACCCCATTTTCCGCCTATTGAATTCCACATAGAATTTTATAACTTACATAGATACATATTTGAAAATGAGCTACCATAGAATAAATAATCGAAACCTCTTTCAAAATTCTACATAAAGAATTAAGAAAAAAATTAAAAAAGTTTCTCAACAATAACCGATTAGGCCGATTTCAACCTACTTGTATATAATTGTTAACTAACTTTATTGGGCAAAAGCTTCAAAGCTGAGAAAACAGATTGCAAAATTATTTAGTCCCTAGTATTTAATTAAATTATTTAAAAGAATACTTCATACGTATACTCAATATGCAAAGTAATTAATTAGTATAATGACATCATTGGTAATAAATCTTTTCCGTCGTCTAATCGACAAGAATATATCCAGTTTACAGGCGTAATATAATTATATTTGTGTTATACAAGTGTTATACTTCGAGGTGTACAATAAGGAAGAGGAGTATATACTACTAATAGAAATCGAATTCACAAATACATATGGACATCTGTGTATACATTTATATATAAATATTCAAAATTTAAAAAAAAAAAAATTCTGTAATAAATATATTTCATTTTTAATATATTATTTGTTTATTTATTTTTTTTTTGTTAAATAGTCGACAATATAAATTAGAAATAAAAGAATTAAATTCTAGCGAAAGAGAAAAGTTTCTAATAACAACACCAACACCGGTCAGCTACTATACCCTATGCTTTTCCAATAATGCTTATAAGGTATTTATGATGAGAATGAATATCGATATTATTTGCCAATATATTTTGTACTTATTGGATTCAAGGTCAACGGACTCCCAGCCGGCAAAAGGCAAAAGGCAAATGGCAAATATCCGTATATAGTTTGTGTTTGGGTCAGAGAGAGATGACATCCTCGCCCCTTAATATACTATATTGGATAACTTTCGGATACCATTTTTACAAATTTTATAGGTACGCAATGTGATTGGCATTAGTGTTAACAACAAATATCATGTGCTTCGGGCTACCGAAGATATGTGTACATATAATCTTACATACATCACATTTTTTTTTTTTTTTTTTTGTTAGGTATGAATACAACACAGTTTGCATCGAAAAACAATAATACTATGGCTTCGCTTGAAGAAGCTACAAAATTAACCAAACATCAAAGAGTCCATCAATTGGCCAAATTGTATGGCTGTTCAAAATCCATCGATCGTTTAATGTCCATTGATGACTCTGATTCGGACTCGGATTTCCGAAGTTCGTTAGTGAATATATCTGCGAAAATTCCTTTCCATAGCGCGTGCTGCCATTGCAGTAGTAAACCCAGACGAATACAGATGAAATCCAGGAGCTGGCGTTTCCGTTTCTTAGTCGCCCGATATGCGACTATAGTTATATTCTCGATGGTCATTCTTTTGGCATCTGCCCAGGAGGAGGTGAACAACAATAAAAAAGCATCGAGAGGCGATGATAAGCCCCTTACACTGAACGAAAGCAGCCGCAGCCCTTTGAGTTCGTCCTCTCACACAGCCGTTCCTAATGAAAACACCATCGTATCGGAACCCGAACCCGAGCCCGAACCCGAAACCGAAACAATTCCAAACAAAGGTCAGAGCCGACGACGAACCAACAAGGGACTAGAAATGCCAGCCGGTCTGCTTTCTGGGGGGGGGACAACACAAGGCTTTAGCATGATCAGAAATAGTTTAATAAGTGGAGATAGTGTGCTGCAGCGTCAATTGAGGGAAAAGGCCAAACAGGATAGTTTGGAATCAATTAAGATGCACATACTGATGCGTTTGAATTTGAAAAAACTACCAAATATAACAAAGCCAATATTGGTGCCACAAACTATATTGGAAAAATTCTATAAAAACTACAATGCATCGCTTTCAAATTCGTTGCGGGATCATAACAATAAACCACATTCAGATTCAGATTCCCGAACAGGACTATATGTGCCTGAGGAAATTGTGACAGAATCATCGGAGAATGTTACGAAAAACATTTACAATTCGGAACATACAACATCAGCAAACCATTCATCCTCCAGCCAGAACTCATCCCCAGAAATGCAGGCTGATGATCCCAATAATTTTAAGGAATTTCAATTTATTTACAATCTTGGATTTGATGAACATCAAAACGTTGCTAATCATAAATCCACTGACTTTAGAACCAACGATGATGATGATCACGATAATGATGATGATGATGTTGAATATGAAAGTATTCTTTCACACATAAGCAGCATTTATATATTTCCAGAACGTAAGTTGATTATTCCATATATTCCAACCAAAATATATAAAAAATCGATATCCAATTCTAATTTAATTTTGATTTTCTCTATTATCTCTAAAGAGCCTCACGTGCGACATAATCGCAAATCAGAGCTTCTTCGTTTCAAGTTCAATACTGGATACTCGGACATATCTCACGTAACGCTTCATTTATATTTGCGAGGATTGGAATGGATAAGTGAACATCAGCCAAAGATCATTGAAGAGATTGCCAATTATCAGAACAAGGACATTGTCGTGGCACTGCATCGGGCCATACGTCGTTCAAATAGCACGAGCTATACACACAAGGCGAAAATCTTTGAGTTCCGTCACAAAATTCCATCAGGTCTCGGGCAATGGGTAAACGTGGATCTCAAGCCCCTGTTCGGCAACGAATATGACCGAATGGGCCCGAATCCAAATCAACTGCAAGAGATTTTCATAAAAGGCGTCGAGCCCTGGATGAGGCCTTTGGTGGTAACGACAGACAGTACTTCCAAAAATCCATTGGTACTATAATTCTTATATACATACATACATTTATTAATTGACTTTTTTGCTTGTTCTATTGGTAGACAGTTCACATTGAGATTGGCTCCCGAAAAAAGCATCGACGAAAAAGGAGCGTTTACCTGGATTGCATTGAGAGCGATCACGAATTGCGCTGTTGTCGATATCCTCTAAAGGTCAACTTCACGAGCTTCGGATGGCATTTTGTGGTCGCGCCCGATTCATTTGATGCATACTTTTGCAGTGGCGAGTGCCGAGTTGGGTATTTAGAGCAATATCCTCATACACATTTGGCCGCATTGACAACATCGGCGACCCCGTGTTGTTCGCCAACCAAAATGAGTTCCTTAAGCTTATTGTATTTTGATGAAAGCCACAATTTAGTGTTGAGTGTTATACCAAATATGTCCGTTGAGGGATGCAGCTGTTCCTAGCCGTCAAATTCAAATACATACATACATACATATATACATACTGAGCAAGATATTAAGAAAAGCGTTTAGATATTAATATAACATAATAAAATAGGATAAGTACATACCATACATACATACATACATACATACACATACAAATATTTGCACTCACATGCATACATACATAAATACATACATACGTTAAAGTACCTGTAACATGTTTGAGCATTGCACGAACGTACATACATGCATATGTAATGTTAATGCAACATTTACATAAATCTATATTTGGCTTATCATTGTTTTTTCGGTTACAAAGTAAACCAAATTTAAATGTAAGTAACTGCAAGTGCAGCGTTCGCTGTTAAGTTTATTGTCCATGTATATATATTTTCTAATAACATTGTCATTCACCACGAACAAGCGAATAAATTAATCATTTCAGATTTTGCAATACTAGAAGTGATTTCTCAAGGGACCAGCCCATACACAAGAGTAATAACAATTAGTAAGGAACATAAGCGCGACTCGTATATTTGCTTATTTTCCGCTTTTAGTAATTGAACCATTTAAAAAATACCAAATAATCGATAATACTGAGATTATTACCATATTCATACTTTGGTCACACAGTCGCGGCGAATTTGTCGATGGTAAACGATGTCTGTATTTGTTCTCTTGTTGTGTGGGTGTGGATTCATTTCACGGAATAAAAATTAATAGAACTATGTAATTTATTATCAAAATGTGCTCAAATAACTGTGTTGGTGTTGTTGAGTTCGATTATGTTGTACTAAAGGTGAGTTCAAGTTGCATCTGCACTAAGAATTATTTCCAAACATAGCTGATACACATATGCACACATACACACTAAAATGGGCAATAATTTGTGTAATAGTGTGCTGCAATGCAAGCTTGTTCACTTTCGCCGCGATTGTTTTGATTCTAAATACTGGATTAGAATACAATTTCATGAATAAATTAATTTATTACAGCTAAATGGTAGCGACATTACATCATTGTCAAGTTATGAAGCGGTTCAAATGTTCCTTCAAGCTAAAGAAACCCTAGTAGTTGAATTATGCCGAAAGAAAAATCCAATAAGTCCGTCAAACTCGAACGACGACATCGATTCTTCGATAGATGCCGTTTATCAGGAGGAGGAGGATGATATCTGTGCTAAAACAAAAAGTGTTCAAATACCAGATGCCAGTGCAAACAGTGCCACCGAAAATGATAACTCCACCAATCCTTTGCCACCGTCAGCTAAAAATCAAATCATATTAACTTTGCGCACCTTTCGAAATGTTGAGCATACCGAGCATACCCCCACTGTTGATGTTGAGCCCTCAGCATTATCAAAGGAGACACAAACGTGTGAAACGTTTGTTGAAGTAAATAAAACTAATAAAAGGGTTATGGTGGGGCATCGCGATCAAAATAAAGATATTGTCCAAACTATCGATCATTTTATCGAGCAAGAGCATCATCTCTTTGAGCAGTGTTTGGAACCAGATATCGACATCGAGGTAAGGCTATATATATCACATATTTAAAATAAAATAAAAATGCAATTGTTTTATATTTGCAGGAAGTAACGCTCGTTAAGAGAGACTCAACTAATGATCAAATAGGACTCAGTGTTTCCTGCAATGGCTTCTATAGTAACAGATATAGCGAAGAAAGTATTGTTAAGTCTGTGATATGCAACGAAAACATTAACACAGACTCGAAGGCACCAACAGATGATGTGGATTCCTGTGAGAATGTTTTCATAAGTGATATTCAACCAGAGAGTGTTGCAGCGAGGGATGGTCGGCTAAGGCGTGGTGATCACATTCTTCGCATCAACGGCATGGACATCAAAAGTAAAAAACACGCTGAAACACAAATAGCCGAGAATAATATGGCTGTTACGTTGCTTGTCAGTCGACTCTTATATCCCGTAAGTATACAAATAAATCTACACACATGGTCATCAACAGCTTAATCAGTTGCTCTTTTATATAAAGGACGACGACGACGACGACGATGATGATGACGAGGATGAAGATGAGGATGATGACGATGATATGGATAGTAACTTTGAATATGCTAACAGCTTCCTTTCTGATTACACAAATGTTGTTGACAAATTGGACAAAGTTCTTTTATCACAACGGCAGTCAATAAATGCCGTTAACAATCTAATAACTGAGCCATCTGCAAAATCTATTAAAATACCATCAGCCCCCAACGGTTCGGAAGCAAATATAGAAATGAGTAAAATTAAGAGTCAAACACATACTACTTCCACAGACAAGAACTTCATTGAGAAGCCAAGAATGGCGAGTCACTCAAAGTTCGAGTTAGATAGCAATGCTGCGAGCCAAGAAATAGCATTGAAACAATTAGTAGATAAAAGCCTGCCAAATACAACGAAAAGTCCAACTATCGCGAAAACTAAACAATATGATTATGATGATTGCGAGCATATTTATGAAACAATTCCCGAGGATTCCGAAACTGAGCCACTTTACTGCTCACCATATCAAAGCTCAAACTATATGACCGCAATGGGATCTTGCTCATCACCAATGATGGCCGAATCAGATGTTTTAGAAATGCAGCAGCAAACACAACGAGTTGCCCAATGGTTGGGCATTAAGTCGCAGATCAGCCCAAGATCAGTACACACACTGGCTGCTGGCCGTCCAAGCTTGTACCATAAACAGCAGCAGCAGCAGCATCGAATATCATCGAATCGCGTATATACACTGCGCAGTGCTATAACAAATACGAGTGGATCAAGTAGTAGTGGTGGGGCTGGATATAGTGCATGCGGCCATAATAATGTTGAAAAAGAGAATAAAAGCATGAATCAAGAAGAAGTTGACAACTCTTCAAGTGCCTATAATACAGGTGGCTCCAATAACAGTGCTTCCCCCCGCCAAAATGCCTCAAATCTAGACAATGAAACTATTGCCACAGCTGCCAACAATCCGATAATCGCCGCTAACTCCTATCAATGCAACGCGCAACCCATTTTAGTGCAATCACAGTCATCAAAAGATGCGTTCTTAAAAACTCCGGTAACTAGCATGCTTATGCTGCCATTCGGAAAGACCGGACGCATATTATGTTCCAACCCCACCCAAAATAGTGGTCCTGGCGGTAAGTTACAAAATTGATTTGGCTAAGCATCGCACAATAATTACAATTACATCTCATCTATTAGAAAACACCACTCTAAATAAATCATCTACAGACGAGATGAACCCTTTCGCACTCAACGCATCAGCACCAGCAAAAACAGACTCTAAAATAATGCGACCCAAGCCCATACCAACAGAAGAACATCAAAGCCAATGCCCTCAATTCAATGCGCCCAATCTGAGCCGTTATCACTTTGTTAGCAGTCAAGAGGTAAATTTTGTTCATGGATATATTTATTTCATTTTGATATGCATTAACAAATACCTGCGTCAAAAGCTTACATACATCTCTATATATATATATATGTATATGTATATTGTACTTTTCCACATGCAGAGAGTATTCAAATATTCAAACGAATAGTGTCATACCTAGAATGAGTCATCTCCCGCCCCATCAATAGATATATAGATTCTTAATAAGTACCAATAGTAATGACCGTTCGTCTCTTTGTTCCTAGAGATTTGATCATTTGAACGTAGGCATTGTCCTATGGTCCGTTTCATACCATCGATAACTTGATATCGAACCTCTGTTTAAGAGCCCCGAATTGCGTATGCAGACTCTCAAATAGTATGTATATATACCCTCTCTCTCTGTCCTTTAGTAGGTATTAGGTTCAGGGTATACCCCTGTCGGGCACTGCCCACAAGAGCACTTTTACATGTTTGATAAATTCGAAATTCTGATATGATAAGTCAGCTAGTATTAGGAGCGTTAAACATCGGCATCCCGAAGAAATCTGTGCTTTGTTGTTTTAATTGTGAACTTAGTAGAAAATGGAGACACGCATGTTCTAAGTACTAAGCCTAAGCGGAACCGCTAAATTTTAAATGACTATTTGCCGAAACAAACAAACAAGCATAATAACAATAAACAACCCATTTAGGTCGCTAATCAGACAGTTTCAGTACCAAAGCCAAGTTCTATTCTTGTAACAACGGAAAATACTACAGAGGAGATTCCTATGGTATGGAAGGTAAAACGACGTCCAGATGGAACTCGGTATATTGTAAAGCGGCCAGTACGTAACAATGTCAGCATGGGAATTCGAAAAAGCATTCGCAATAATGAAATAACCACAACAGAGGATGATACAATATCAGAGGTTAAAATCGGACGTTACTGGACTAAGGAAGAACGCAAACGGCACATAGAACGAGCTCGTGAACGGCGGCATCATCAACAATTGCTTCATCAACAACAATTTCCAGCACAATAACTACTAGCTTTAGCTTTACAGAACCTTCAACCTGTAGAATAAATTTACTTTATATTATGCTATATGTGTATACGTATCCAAAATGCCAGGTTTCAAAAGCGTCAAAGTAATATAGAGTAATATCTAAACATCTGACAGACTGCAGCTTGGATGCGATATAAAACGTATTATTAGTATACATAAGTAGATTATTGAAATTAAACCAAAAATCCAAATAATTAAACAGTTTTAAAGCACGATGTACATGACTTTTCAAAAGTCATTAAGTCAAAATCAAAATAATATGACAAACTGCAAACCGCAAACATGGCGTTCAATATAAACACTATTCTCCTACATTTGTATGTATATTAATTGATTTATTAGTCACTACAGTAAAATATGTTGACAGTAAACTAGTTCTTAAACATATATATTAAAGCTTCTCCAGTGTTGAAGTAATTTTTAAAGAGCGCTCCATTTTAATTGTATTACAAACAACTTAAACCTAACAAACCGATTCCTTTAAACATTAGTACACCCACATAGCTATTAGCCGTAATGTACATAATAATATAATATAATATATCTGATAATTCGTAAAATACTAATTTTGTATAGTCCTTTTTAGAAATATGGCTATTTGTTATACCCTTGCAGAGAGTATTATAATTGCATTACGAAATAAAGAGAGCGATAAAGTCGAATCATGTCGATATTTTGTTATTTTGGTGACTTCTGATAATATTTCGCTTTCATCATACTTTTGTAGAGTCTATTATAATTTTGCTCTCTCTTTTTCAGATCAGCATCAACAGCCAAGTTGATTTTACCATATCCGTGTGTCCGTTTTTATGCGAATATATCATAAAGCTGCTATGGGAACGAAAGAAAGTAAGTTAAAATGAGTAAGTATATTATTATATATTTTCACCAAACTGAGCATTAACGAGCTTTACTATTCTTACATATCTGCAAAAGAGAAATCTATAAAAGGGTATTAAATCTTCTATCTATCTATTTGAATTTGTCTCTGTTCAGTTTTTTCATATAATTCGAATTGCTTTGTTCCCGCCCAATACTGTAAAGAAGTGTTCAACACTGAATTGAAACAGTGGTTCAGCTCGCGTAGGAACTAGCAGTTCCATAGACCTTTTGAATGAACTATATGAGGTTGGCTTGCAGTTAAATAATTTTCTATTGCTTTGCCCATATTAAAAGACGAAATTAAGAATCAATTGAATGCAGACAGTATTTATATAATTAGTACAGTACAGTACAAATATAAATAAATGCATTTAAAATTAGGTATTTCAGCTCCGGAACCAAGTTCCAAATATGGACGCCTAGTTACCTACCGTTGCTAATTTGACGAACGCACAAACTGCTGGTTCGACGTGAATGGTTGGTTTCGATAATCACTTTCATCGATGTTGGCAGCTGATCGTGCATGGCTTTGCACTAACAAATGTAGACACATATGTATATTTTTGGTTCCATTTTAAAACTCACTATATTTTCCGCAGCAAGTACAAAGCCAAACACCTTTGTTATTTCAATTTTTAGCACCCTCCATAGAGCAGTGTGTAAACATGTTGTGCAGTGTAGTGCAGTATGGTAATAATTTGAGTAAGCATGTGCTTCAAATTGTTGTCAATGTATTAAAATGCAGTGAATTGCAAACAAATGTTAAAGTGTGCGCCTCAACATATTGCGGGTATCGGGTTAATGTATTGTACATATGTATGTACAGCATGTTTTAACATTTGTGTAAGCGTGCGCCAAATATATGTATTTTGCCATTGTATCTATGTGTATGACCACACAACAGTCTGTTATGTGCTCTGTTAATTTTTCATACTGTAAGAAATGCTGTATCTTTAACATTCATTGCATGTTAAAATTATATGTTAATGTGTGAAGCCGGCAATGATTTTATAGCCGGCCAAGTAAAAATTAAAATTGTTTTGATTGAAACATAAAAAAGTATACCGAAGACTAAACTGTTTGTTAATAATCAAAAGCAAAAGTATGTACATAAGTTGTTGACACTAATTTGACTGTGTATTAAATATCCTGTACATTACAAAAGGCGAGGCGTGGCTGCGATCCTACTGCAGGAATGTGTGTAGTTATGCAGATATGTATGTATTTATGTACGAAAATGTATGTGTGCTGTGTATATATGTATATATATACATAAATTATTGAATTGACATTCTAAACATTTTCATGTACTACGCGCATTCGAATTTTGTACCAAATGTCACATAAATTGGAAAATAGTACCTTAATATTACATACACATTTCAGTAAGGATATGTAGCCTATGTGCGTTGGTGGGGTTTCTACATACGTAGAGAAAGAAAAGCTAAGAGAGGTTATAGGGTGAGTGACACAAGGTTTAGTGTAAGTTAGGGGTTGTTGCGAGAAAGAGAGAACGCCGATAAATGTATGTGCATATGTTCTACGCATATACGGAAGCAACGCGGCTAAAACGGCAAAAGTGTCAAACTATCAACGTCGTCGGTCAGTTACATTTTTATCAAATTTTATCCATTTATTTATGTTTTAACCAACACAAAAAAAAAACAAAAATTATTGTGTTCGTGAATTGCATTTACTTACATGAATATTTATGAGTGCCATGGTTCAGTCTGATATTTTGTAAGTACACACACACAAAGCAAATGGACATACATATGTGCGTATCTGTGTATGTATGTATGTACGAATTACATGCCTATACAAGACACACACACCCAAGAGTATGCCTGTATGTATACCAAATGCATTTCAGTATTTCTTTCTATTACAGAAAAGGAAAACCAACTATTACCGGAGCATTGCCAAATGCTTAGAGTCAAGAGTGAAGTGTTTGTGTGAGATTCGCATGATTCGCAATTAATATTGCGGGCTTTAAGTACTTACATTTATGCATATGTATACAATGTATAGGCTTTTCTGGCATCATGAATTTACGCGTGTGGGTCTGGCTTACAACTACCAATAGAATCGGAGTTTCAGATACTGTAATGCTGGTAAATGGCATACCACTAAAATATAAAATGAATTGCAACAAATCGACTTCGCACTAAGAGAGAGTCATACTACTGAAACATATATATGATGACATGTTTGAAGCACAACAAATCGTATCGGAGACAAATAGATACAGCGAAGTGAGTTCCTCCTCCACTATAGCTTTGTCTTCGCTACCGATATCGCCATTCTCTATCAATAATATCAATTCATCTTCAGTATCATCTTCGAATGCATCCGGTGAATGTGGAATTGTGATTGTCGATAATAGTTCAGCTCCAGAAATCGTATCAAAAGTAAATACGAATCAATTACAGGAACAATCAGAGTCAACTTCATTCATAGCTAACAGATGCTCACTTAGAATGTCTAGCCATGCCGCTGTAAATGCTACTACTCCAAAAATGCTTAATGATATTAACATGACAGATTCAATTCATAAAATCAATCAGACTAGCAGCCATACCCAAATAATTGAACAACAACATAAAGTGGTGCATCCGATTCCGCTATCCGAAGATCCGCGCACATTGCAATTGGCATTGGAATTGTCTCTGGTTGGCTTGAATGAGAACAATCAAAACAGCTACGCCGCAATCCAGCCAATTCCCGCACAAAATGACTACGACATTGGCTCCATTAATGTTGTATCTGCCGCTTTCGCTAGGAGCGAGGTGCCAATGTGCCATAATCTGCCGCTGCCACCGACGAACGGATCTGGACTTTTGATGCCCTCCGCCGGCTTGGAAGACAGATCAAAGAAGTCTCAAAATATGACCGAATGTGTCCCAGTTCCCAGCTCAGAACATGTTGCTGAAATCGTGGGACGCCAAGGTAAGCGAATATGTCGGAATATACATAACATACGATATACGATACACACAAAATGGTAAAAATGGCAATCGTAACTAGAAAATATATATACATTTTTCCAATATGTGACCAAGTATGGGCGTGGTCGCACTAATTCTCGATCGTTAGAGAAGCTTATGAGTTATCTATTTCGCAGTTTGCCTTTAATTCATAAGTAAATGTTACTCTACAAATAGATTTGTTCGGTAGGATATAATGGCTGATAAGGCTGATATAATGTTTTTGTGCAATTTTCTATATAAAAGGCAGAAGGAACCGATCCCATATATTCTTTATCAATAGCCCAGTCGATCTGTCCGTATGTATAAAGGCTTGAAATTTTGAACGTAACTCAAATGAATGAAAATTGTGTTTCAAGGTTCTTCGAACGAAATTTAGCCCGGGCAAAACCGAGTATAATATGTATTTACTATGCATGGAAATCATGTAGACATTTAAACGTAATTCTTTTATGTGTAATCTAGGATGCAAAATTAAGGCTTTGAGAGCGAAGACAAACACGTACATCAAGACTCCGGTTCGCGGCGAGGAGCCCGTATTTGTTGTAACAGGACGAAAAGAGGATGTGAACAAGGCCAAACGGGAAATACTTTCAGCTGCTGATCACTTTAGCTTAATTCGGGCATCCCGAAAGCCCTCAATTGAAGGATCGAATAGTGGAATATCTGGAAATGGTAATTCGGGTTGTAATTCATTAAGCGTGGGCATAATTGCACGGGCGCAGTCTGGGCCACCGTGTCTACCCGGGCAGATCACAATACAGGTGCGTGTACCTTATAGAGTTGTGGGTCTAGTAGTTGGTCCCAAAGGTGCCACCATAAAGCATATACAACAAGAAACACAAACATACATAGTCACACCGTCTCGCGAGAAGGAGCCCATTTTCGAGGTAACCGGACTGCCAGAGAATGTTGAAACCGCACGCAAGCAAATTGAGGCTCACATAGCACTTCGAACGGGTAATAGTACCCAAGGCAGTGAGAATGGTACTGCTGAATCATTAGAATCGAACGAGTTTGCCACTCTGCATACGATTAATACGCTCACTCAGATACTAAATGACGATTTAAACACTAATATATTGTCATCGATCTATAAGAGCGATATATCCCCGAATGTTAATTACGCAGATAATGCTGCACTTAACGTAATTGACACTATCAACATTTCCAATTCGACAACAACAAATGCTATGATGAATGCCGCCGTATCAGTTCATAATTTAACTAAATGTTTCCCCAATTCTGATCTAGTAGATATCGCCCCAATTGTTAGCACAACGGACAAGAATTTCGCGCTGGCTGAGATTACGGGTCAACCCTTGAAAACGAATACGTTCCGCAATACCAATTCGAATACCAATGCCAGTGCCAATACTAATGCTAATACCAATGCCATTGCCAATGCCAATGTCAATGGGAGCAATAAAACTTTATCCTTCTGTCCACCCACGTCCGTATCATCATCAGGCTCTGCCCAGTGCCATTCAATCTCTGCTAACATATTGACGCGCTCATGCTCATCAGCCTCCTCGACAGCATCAACCAAAAGCACAAATAATAGCGCCAATAGTACTAACAGCGTTAATACTCCCCCAGAGCTGTTGAATATATGGAAAAATTTGAATGATTCCATTGACGTTGATGAGGGTATTGGAGACTCTCCAAGCATTTGGAATCTGCCGTCGTCAGCTACAACAGTCACGACGGCATCCCATTGCTCTCCAACGGCTTCGGTTAGTCCAACGGACTCGCTTTTGGCTGAACACTGCCTGAACATAAGTCAAAAAGTTGGCAGCAACACCTTCAAGGAACCGTGCCCAAATAGTAGCTTACTATTGCAACATCAACGCAACACGGTCCAGAGTAGCTCGGACAAATTGCATTCAACGCATCGCGAATGTTTTGTGTGCAACGAGAGAGAAGTGACCACAGCTCTAGTTCCTTGTGGGCACAATATGTTTTGTATGGACTGTGCAAACCAGATCTGTGTCTCCATGGAATCAATTTGTCCAATATGCCACTCCATTGTGTACCATGCCATGCGTATTTTAGCCTAAACCAATCACCAAAATACTGATATTATTTATATGTTTATTGGTTTTTATGAGAAACACTTATAATCTCCTCTCCATTATATTATATTAATATTTATATACATGCACAAACATTCTATTCTGGTATTCCCTGCATAAATCCAATTTTCTTTTATCTCGTCTATATTACATTCGGTAACCTAATTTGGGGATAAGTGAAATTAGACGTGTAATAAATAGGCCAAAGAAAGCAAATAACCCTTAATTGAACAACAATTAAATCACAATTAATCAGGTTTCTTCGAGGTACCGAAGATTAAATACCCTTAGAGACTTACAACATAAGGATCTGACGATCTGATCTGAAACAAAGAACTCAATTTTCGACCAAATATTGATTTGGTAGTAATATAGTATGATACTTATGATAGTTCGATATCGATAAAAACTATTGCAAATTATTCAAAACCAACAGCAACATTGTTTGTCATATAAATCATAGTATTCGACCGATTTTTTCTAAGGCATCTATTTAACAGTGTTTCAAATCTTAAAGGCTTGTAGGGATAGAAACAGACTGACGGGCTGACAGATTCCCCTTCCGATCCTAATTAATAATATATATATATAATAGAGTTGAAGTTATTAAAAACAATTATTTTCTGTGTCCAAATCTTCATTATACTTATATGTATATACATATATATATATGTGTTTGAGTGTATGTGTTAGTGTGTGTATGTATGTATATGTGTGTGGGTGTGTGTGTGTTAATGTATGCATTTATATATATATATGTATGCATGCATGTTTGTTTTCAATCAGGCCAATCTTATTTGTCGCTGTGCTGCAAATTTAAATAAAACGAACTTCTATGAAGTGCTCTACTCCTCGATTCTCAAGAATTCAAGTAGGCCCTGCAGTTTTTCATGTATATTTTTTTGTTTATTTTGTGGTTGTTTTTTTTTTTTATGTATTTTTTTTTGTTTTTTTGTGTTTATTTTGTGTATATGTATGTATGTACATATGTATGTATGTGTGTACATATGACTATACATATGCACATATGTATGGTTGTACATATGTATATATGTATGTACATATGTATGTATGTACATATGTATGTATGTACATATGTATGTATGCTTGTATGTAGGTACATATGTATGTATGTATGTACATATGTATGTATGTATGTATGTATGTACATATGTATGTATGTATGTACATACGTATGTATGTATGTACATACGTATGTATGTATGTACATACGTATGTATGTATGTAGGTACATATGTATGTATGTATGTAGGTACATATGTATGTATGTATGTAGGTACATATGTATGTATGTACATATTTATGTATGTACATATGTATGTATGTACATATGTATGTGTGCATGTATGTAGGTATCCGGACATGTGTTCATACATGTACGCATGCATGCATGTTTGCATATAATACAAAACAAACATATATACATATGTATATACATGCAAACTTAAAACTTGGCGCACCAAATCTTTAGACCACGTTTCCACCAAGGAGGAATGGATTTTTCGGAAAATGTGAGGCACCCCTTAAATGAATATGAACAAAGGTTTTTGAAAATGTGTTTGAGGCCGATGGGATGGTAAACAAAGAAGTTTGATACAAACGTTTTTCGCGATTTTTCCACACATGCGAGTGGAATTTCCCGAATAAGGTAACTTAACATAAGGTAACTACATAGAGATTAATTAGGATCAGAAGTAGAATCTGTCAGCCCGTCAGTCTTTTTCTATGCCTACAAGCCTTAGGGTCGGTACATATTAGTTAAATTAGTGCGGTTCATTGCATCAAAATGAAACGGAAGATGACATTAAGAGTATATTCCAATTTAACATACTTTTATTTTGTATAGCTGGATTTTTCTGAATTAAAAGTCCCTTTGACATTTTCAGATATGTCATATTTTTCTCTTCATAAATCAATTTTCACAGCCTGGCATTTCAAACAAATTTCGAGCGCATTCTTCCAAAACCCGATTTTGTATAAGATATTTGAACGCATTTAAAAATTGGTATTCAGATCAGGAAACCATGCGTTTATACACGTACTATATATACTATATATATATATGTATACATACACATATTTATATATATAAATTATATATATTAGAATAAAAATACACACACATTTACAATTACAAATACATAGCTATTTTCTCACCTTTTATCGCATGTATGTATATATATATCTAATATTTTAATATGTGGCATAGTATTTGATGTAAGGACTCTTAACCAATTTGTAGATTTAGAAGTTTATTATATTCTAGTAAATTATGATGCATAATGGCTTTGAAAGGCATATAACCTACACAAATAGCTACTAAATTATGTTATTCTGTTGTACTGCAATGTGTATTATGACGAACATGATTTAACTCTGTACTCTGTGTACTCTCGTTGTCATCAAATAATATAAAATAAATAATTTTCTATTATAAGTTGACTGATAAATAGGCGGTAATATTAGGTGAAGCACACGTACGATCAAATTTATAAATTTGAGTATAAATAATATATATATTATATATTATGATATTTATTCAATACATAAAAGAATATAACAAAACAAACACAAACATACATATGCAAATAGAAATATTAATTGAAACTATATATGAATATTATATAAATATATATACATATATTTATATCATAGCTTATATTACTATTAATGTGAATAAAAAAGACTTATATATTTATTAGCCAATCATATTAAAGATTGACAAAAGGCCGATGATAGTATCTTGCGCTGAAAATCATATTCGTTTTTAAAGCAATTGTTTATATTAGATCATTTTTTCAAAACAATCCTAGCCTTGATTAATTTATTGTTCCAAAAACATTTGTTGTATGTACTTTTCAATATTGAAAAGGTACATTTTATTTATATACGAACAAAGACGTCAACAAATATCTAGTCCAACCAGAATATTCAGAATATAGTTTTTAATGATTGAGTTATTCGAATTTGAAGTGAGGCTTGGACACGTTCTATTATTATTATATGTTTATATTTTGATTATAATGTGTTTATATTTTTTAATTGTTTGTTAGTTTGTTTTTACTTCGGAAATTGTAGAACAACGGTAAAAATGAGTGAGACTAAATACAGTTGATTAAGTGCGCAAAAAAATATTGAAAACTTATTTAATCACATACTACATACTGTATGTACAATGTGAAATGATACCAAAAACGTACATTTTACACACAATTATGTTACGAATTAACTACGAATTAACTGAGCAAAATAAAACACAAAATATAAGCAGAAAGGGAAGGGAGGGAGGATTAAGCAAAAGCTTTTTTAAGCTTATAATATTTATAAAAGAAAATCAATTTGTGTTTGATTTGTAAATGAATTAATTGTGGAAAGATTCAAATGGAGTCTTGTGTGCGTCCGTTTATTTTTGAATAGAAGATATTTACTTTTACCAATATATAGTATATTATATGTGTGAATTCTTTGTGGAACTAATGGTTCGAGTGTGAGTCTGAGAATAACTTATTTTCGAGCTGTTTAGCTATGAATCAACAACAATATTTACTAACAGACATTTTTGCTCCTATGGAGAGTATTAAACTTATTGATGTTCTTTGAAATATCGTGCAGATACCATATAGAGGGGCATGTATGTATAGGGTAATTTAGGTTCAGTTTTTTCTTATTGTTAAGATGTATTTGAAACCTTCCAGTACTGTCTCATTGTATATAAATATGAGTTAATTTTTATATTCAATTCAGTGTTTAAGTGTAAGATACACAAAAGGTAAAGGAAATTATTGAAGTATTGCGTTTATTTCTTTCGATTTTCCAAATGTTCTTTATACTTATATTGATTGGTTTGCAGTTCATAAAAGACAACCTTAAAAGAAATGTTTACAATTAATTGTACTACATACATACCCGACCGCGTGAAAATATTTTTTTACACAGTATGTAAGCTTTTACATCAAATTTGTAGATGGCGGTTAAAATATTTACAACGAATATTTTATAAATGTTTCTTATTAAACTTGTAAGGCCTAAATTAACATAATACAAACAAAATATTATTAACAATAGTGAAATATCCGCATTGTGTTCGTAAGAAAATATATATCTTTAAAATACATTTCATAAATCAACTTTAGTCGGCATTAATTTTAAACAAATACTAAGCAAATACTAATGTCGATTAAAAAACATAACTTTATATAACAAATATATACAAAAGATATGTATCACTAAATGGTTATATAATAAAATTTTCCGAAAATATGCGTATGTGTTTTAATTAGCTACGATTAGGTTTCCTGATATACACGACAATTCATTAATTGATCTTGGACCCACAAAGTCGTTCATCTTGATTTTTGGGCAATTGTTTTCATTGGCTCAGTTATGTGATATTCCAAAGTTATGCAAACCTGATGGACTTAGTGATTACGCCGTCCATTCGTCGTTATAACTGCCAGTTAATTTTTAAAAGGTGTTTAGCATTCATTATTTCATAGTACAAATATAAGTATTCTCATATACATACCTAGGCTGAAGATCGATTTTGATCCTGGAATGCCAAATTTTGATTGCAATCTGAACTGAATCACAGTAGTCAACAATAAATGGCCAATCTAAGCCAAAGCATGTTTAAGATGAACGGAGAAATAAATAAAAAAGGGGTTTGGCCCTCTGATTTAATTGCAAATATTGTTTGATACTCCCATGCGAGTTCGATCTTAACTTTGTAAAGCATATTCTATCGCGAACCTGCAACTAAAATGTGAATGTTGAAAGAAAGGTAAGCCATTCCATTAAAGAAAACACATGGATTTATTTTTCTTATTTAATAAAATAATAACTGTAACTAAAAGTACTGAGACCTTTTATTTATTTATTTTCTTTTTGTTTCTTTGATTTTGTGGGGGTACACCGTTGTGTTTTTGTTTTTGTTAACGTTTACGATTCTAGAGATATAATCATTAGCACATTTGAAACAAATTAAACATTAAGTACATGGACTTTATAGCTCAAAAGAAACAAATGCATTCTTTTCTGCTAGATTACTTCATCATATACATATGTGTGTACCTGTTGTAAGTGAACAAATTATAATTAGTAGGGATGTAGTACATGGATTGCCCTGAATCGGAAACCAATACTTTAGCCAACTTAACAAACGTGCTATATTCGGGAAACCGAAACTTAAATACCCTTGCATAGTATTCGCTTAAGCGAATTTATTCTTCAATCAGGAATTTACAAGCTCATATAAACATAATTATGTACGTATAATATATATCCACTATGTTTGTCTAAAATCTTACAATCGGAAATGTTATAATATCAATATAATCATCAGCGAGGGAAAGGAAATTATTATGAACACCATAGAGTACATTTCGAAAGATGTTTATTAAAGCATAAATACTGTGTGACAGAATTAAAAAAAGGAACCAATTTCATTTCATCTGAAAAACATTTAAAAAATAATTTTTGAGTACAAATTCTTGTATATAGTCTCCATCCTGAAATGCAGTACTTTATACAATCCATTGATGTTGAATTTATTTCAATTGTCGAAAAATTTGAAATCGGATTTGAAGCTAGATAAAGCTAGTGAAATGTATTATAATAATCGTAAATAAAAATAGAAGATAAGACTTATATTATGGGGACGGAAGTGCCTCCTTCTATTTATTACGAGTATCGTCTGTGACAATATATATATATGATTATGTATGTGTCAAAGTTGGTATTTTGCAAGGGTATTCATAAGTCGACCAATTAGCTCTTATGTGTGTATTAAGTATATGCGTTTACTCTCTGGATCTGGGTCGACCAATGCCGGGTATAATTGTACTATATGTTAATTACAGTTGAAGTA